GGGGGATTGTAGTTCTAGTCTCGTCACCATGAAATTCATCTGTTCTACGTTCCTGTATGCTGGAAACGACCAGGGTGTCCCTATTGCTGCTTGTTTTCAAGTCCAGAATATAGTTTCTTTCATTTTACTTTCAGCTATGATAATGTTCAGTTGGGTGGTGAGAGTAAAGGTTTGTAGTGTATTATTATCATCTTTGACCAGTGCTTCTTTCTGGCCCTAGTTAAACTCCAGACTATCACTTTATGCTTGAAACACATTATGCAGGATTTCTATTAAAGAGTCGGTTTAAAATCCAGATAGTGTTGGTTCTATGGATAAGAGCAAAATCTGAATCTGGTAAAGATTCAGGAGTGTTTAGCAATTTATGTCAGAGTCTTTTTAGAGGTTTGTGAACCAGCCCTGGTTTTCTTTTCTTGTGTTTGTTGTTAATGGTAGAAGAAGTGACTGATTAATTTGTCCAACTCATAGTTCCAAAGGTAGTGCGAAGTCCATGAATGCCACAAGTGTGGCATTCATGGACACATCACACAGTCTTCACCTGCACCAGAACAGCACACATTCAGCTGCAATCGGACTTATGTATGTTGATATCTGTTTGTGTGTGTGAGTGTATGCATGCTCTTTTGTTGCAGCACTAAGCATGTACTTTTACATTAATGACCAAAAAAAAAAGTTCTTACTGGCATGTATTTTTTGGAGGTTGATATGCTTCTCCAGTTCCCGCCGCAATGTTACTTCAGCGCCATACTTTCCCACCGTCCCATCATCCACAAGGAGGAAATGGGAATGCAGGCTGTTGAGAACGTTTAGTTTGCTGAGAGGATTCAGTAGTGTCTGATATGGAGCAATAATCTGCAGTGTGGAAAAGAGCAGCCATTAACAGCAAGAAAAGTAAAGGAAAAAAAGGAGACTATACACACATATATACATATAATCTTTATATGCACACATAAATGACAACTTCTGTGGCGCATTAACATTCAGGTTAGTCACAATAAGCTGCATCTTACGTCTCTGCCGATGAGATCGTTCCTGTTTTCAATCACTCCCCAGGGTGCAATCCCGATAGTGCAAATTTTCTTTGATGATCTTGAACAGTGTTCTTTGAGAGCATCTCCCACATGTTTTGCTACACCTTCAGAAACAAATAAAAAAATAAGCTTTTATTCTTTCTTTAAAAAAGGTTTCCACTGCTAAATATTCCTTATTATTATTAGAAATAAAACTGTCCACCCAAGTCACATATCTCAGCATAATCTTTCACCATTAAAAATGCATTTTATAGATATATTTAATCAATGTTGTGAAAAGAAATGGACAACCTCCATCTGACTTTCAGACACTAAAAACATTGGATGGGTTAAACTATAATACATCATATCAGCAGATTTATGAAAGATGCCTAAAGGATGCTCAAAATCTACCTACTAACAGTCTATATTTAAAGTAACCTCGACAATAAGGTTGGGTGATATGTAAAATGTTTCCAACCGACATTCATCAGGCCAATAAATGACAATAGGCGATATATTCACCTGACTTTTTCGTGACATTTTGATGGGCAGAACTTATTTGCGCGTTAAGAACATAGAAGAAGTCCAAACATGGAGGGCTTAGTTGCAGCTGAATGAGTTTTAGTAGATATTTCACTTCTTTATTTTAGATTTTAACTTTTAACATTTGAAGTGGTTGTCGCCACAATCCGCCATACTTTTCAGTCACACTTCCTTAGTTTTTCTGATGTTAGTTTGTCATGCTTTAATGATATGTGAACATCTTTTGTACATGTTTTCATATGATATTTAACATCAGTTTGTTTTAAATGTTTTTCTTCTTCACTGTCTGTCTGTATAATAATTAATGTTGATAATGCACGATGTAAGGTGCTGCACAGTAAAGCAGCATGATTCATTATTGATGAATGTGATAAGTGGTTTAAAATGCGTTTGTTACTAATTTTGGTCATTTTCTATTAAACAGTTCTCAAATTTAACTAAACACTTCAGTGTTTCTTAGCTTTAGACTAGTTGTGGATTACTGTGCTTTTCCATAGAGGCATGCTTTTACTTCACTGCCAGTGTATTTGGGATCATTCTGAAAAACCAAAGCCGTTGCCAATCAGATGCTTTCCGGATGTTATTGCATAGTGAATCAAAATCTGACTACTTTTCTGGGTTCATCATTCCATCAATTTTACAAGATCTCCAACACTGAAATGCAGCCCAAAACCTCCTATGTTTTACAGACGGCTGTAGACATTCACGGTTGTGCCTCTCTCATGCCTTCCTCTATGTATAATCATCACAATTTAAACCAAACATTTCTAATTCAGCACTCTATAAGGCCTGTTGCCACTGATTTTCAGTTTGCATACCTTAGCCAGTTCTCTCTGTTTCCACTCCTTTAAAAATGGCTTCTCGACAGCAACCCTTCCAACTGAGAAAAACTCCAGCGAAGCTTCAGTGAGCAGTAGATGGCTCAACTGAAAGGCTGGATGAATTTTCTATTTCTTAAAAGACTGTTGATCTGCTACAGGAGATTCTTTTTTAAGACCTGCTACTTCTTTTGTCCTCCATTTGTCCAATCTTCTCAATTTTTTTTAAGGACCCTGCACACAATGTCAAGACATGCTAAGGTTTGGGCTAACATTTCTTTGAGAACTACCTTGTTGGTGCAAGAATACAATTCTATGCCCATCAAACTGTTATCTTTGGCCTTTTTCATAGATTCACCTAAAGAAATAAGAGAAAATTAAGCGTTTTAAAAAGCCTAAACCTACAATTTAGATTTGTATGGTTAATATTAGTTCTTTGCTAATTTGTCTGTTGTGTGCAGACACAACACTGGTCCATCACCTTTTTTAATACTTGAATGATTCATAGGTCAGATTTAATTGGCTTAACAAATCTGTTTGGGGTTGTGTGAGAAAGGCCAACTGGCATAAAAATCTGCCAAATCATAAATGCAGAGCTACCCGTTGTGGCGACCCCATGGAAATAGGGGAGCAGCAGATGTAGTTTTATTAAGTGATAAATCTACCATTAGTTTATGTTTTTCAATTTTCTCTCATTCTTAGACAAAATAACAGCCCATGTTCCTCTCTTGTTCTCTGTTCATTAAAGTACATGCATTGCTGTCAGGTAGCAGAGTCCAAATAAATAAAAATAAGTCCAAATAAAAGAAACAGGAAAAAAAAAACCCCCAGAGTGTTAATGACCAAAATGCCACTGATGGGACCAGCTCACAACAAGTACATTAGCCCTGGAGTTGTTTGTGAACCACAATCCTCACTTGATGGATCCTATAAATTCAGCAGTAATTTGTGAGCCGGGAGACCATCCCAACTGGCCAAAGTACCAGAGATGGATTAAAAGTAATCACTGGTCTGAGTAATTGACCCTGTGAGTAATGATTTAAACACTATGATCAGACCACAACATCTTAACGCCATACTGTGGCTGCAAACACACATCAGCCTCGACTCACAACCAAATGACACGGTTAGAGAACTTCTGCTACATCAGCGAATCACCATTAACGGGCTGTTTATTTGTGTAGGATTGCATGGCTAAGAGTCTTCCAAAGAAAAATGCCTTTTAAGTATTTGTTAATATATAGAAATTATAATTATTATCATTAGAATTAAAAATTAATAATAATAATAATAATAATAATAATAAAAAAGCATGTTTATTCAGATATATTAATAAGTGTATTTTTCATTATACCAAGAATCCGCTGACTCAACAAGGAAATTTTACATTTAATTAGGTTTGTTGTAATGACCAATTTCTCCTATGCGAGAATAGTACAGGTAACTGTCGAGTGAATTCACACCAAGTAATGTCATATATCCTGCCTCTTTCATGCTCCACCCAGGGATCACCCTTCCCCAAACCAAAGCAGAGTATTTCTAGTAGAAGACCATTTATTGTGTGCTATATGCAAAAAAGATCATCTTCCACCCAATCAAGCATAGTTGGCAATTCATTTGAAAACCAAAAGGATTTCAACAACAGATATCTTCCCATTGGTCAAACAATTGATGGGCGTTACCTTCATGAGAAGCTACATCAAATATGTTCCAGGACTGACAATCGTTTTCTAGCAGCACCAAAAACAAACTACCCATGAAGTTCTGTCACCAGTTTGAACTTGCCAAACCTAATGGAGGCTGCTATGCTTTCAGCATTATGATCAACTTTTGGTTTTATTTCTAACACATTTTGTCTAATCGCGCAGCATTCAGTGATGGTTTCAGTGGTTCCATCCACCAGTAGCAAAACTAATGAAGCCTCCTGTCTCATTAAAACTTAAAGATGACACCACAATGGTCAGTCACTGCTGAGAATATGAGGCCTATTAAGAGCTATTCCTCAGAGTTCTTGTGCTGAGGGAATAAAGATCTATTTGTGAAAACCACATGAAAATGTTCATCCCGAGACTCTGATTTCAGTATAAAAACAAAGCTATAATGATTTAATATCCTTGAAGTGCAACTTGTTCAAAATGTATTGACGCCAGTAACACTGAAAAGGTAGAGTCCACTCAGTGCACTGTGGCTGATAAAGTTAATCTACAGATAACGCAGTTTCTTCCCGCTGAGCACATGTTGGACAGGACTTCCTTTCCACAATGACTGAACAACCTGTTAAACATGAATCTGCAGCTTTTGTAAAAGAAGAGTTTGATCATTAACAGTCTGATTTATATAATTGTTCGGTTTCTTTTGGAGAAACAGATTTAAATATTTTTGAATATACATATAAATGTACATTGTGAGAATCTGGACATAAAAGTGTAGATTTCCAATATTTTCCCTAATTTCAACAAAAATAAAAAAATGCCTTTCCTCATTTAAAAATCAATCTGAATTGCAAGACCTTTTAAAAAATGATACAACACGCAGAAGAACTTTGTCCTTTCCACAGTATTTCAAAAAGAACATAATGTTTCTCTGATTATTTACCTGTGTTAACACCACCGGTGAGAATCCAGGCCCCGGTGGTGACAGCAGCTTTGATGAGGCCCTTGCCGATCACCTGCTTAATGCGGGGGTGCAGGTCAAAGTTCTGAACTCCTCCGTGGACAGAAATGAGGATCTTGGGAAGCTCCATGTGCCACTCCTTTAGCATCAGTCGTAAAATGCTGTCTGGCCTCGTGTCATGGGACAAGCGTACATACTGTCCACAGTTTCACAAACACAAGAAAAACATGTTAGCGTAACACACAACAAAGAAAGGATGGGTCATCACACACAATAAATTTGTGTTTGGATTGAAGAAACTTGCCTTTAAATATTATAGAGAGTGAAGTGCCACGGAAAAATAAGCTAAAATCAATTGAAATACACAATCTGCACTATTTATCAAACCGTTTTTGATCAAACTGTTTTTTTATTTCATCAAGTCGAGCCTAAAGTTGTTTACCTATAAAACTCCAAGACCAAGGATATCTATGTAGAAGTCACCACACCTTAAATACAGTGATGGAACACCCGCCCCCCAACACAGTTTCTATATTAATGTTAAATTAAAAAAAAAAAAAAAAAAAGTAAACATGAGACAGCAAAGGGGATTAGCCCC